ATCCAGTGCTCACCATGGAAACCCAGGTGGCATCAGTGGTTCACTCCACCTATTTCCATCTATGGCGGATTGCCCAGCTGCAATGTTGATGTTGGGGCGCTTGCCACTCCGGTCCATGTGCTTGTAATCTCGAGATTAGACTACTGTAATGTGCTCTATGTGGGGCGACCTTTGAGGTTGATGCAGAAGCTTCAAATGGCGCAGAATGTGGTGGCCAGACTTCTCAGTGGGACGAGAAATATCAGCATATCTCCCTCACTCTGGCTACTTTGCATTGGCTGCCTGTTCGCTTCTGCATTGACTCCAAAGTTTTAATGACATATAAAGCCCTAAACGGTTTAGGACCTTGATATCTAGTGGAATGTCTCCTCCCATGTAGATCTACCCAAATCACTCATTCTAGCCAGGAGGGCCGGTGGGGGGAGTCACGGACAGAAAGAACAAGAAACCGGGCCTTCTCGGCAGTGGCCCCTCGCCTTTGGAACAGTCTGCCCCCAGAGATCGGCCTGGCTCCCTTGCTGGGTGTTTTTAAGAGCAAACTTAAAACTTGGCTCTTTAGGCAGGCCTTCCCTCCTGTCATCACCTAATTACCTTGCCATTTTGAATTATTACCGTTGTTTTTGTTATACAGTACTTAAAACTTTGGCTCTTTAGGCAGGCCTTCCCTCCTGTCATCACCTAATTACCTTGCCATTTTGAATTATTACCGTTGTTTTTGTTGTACAGTATTACTTTTATGTCTTATTGTTAGCCGCCCAGGGTAGACTTCGGTCTAGTTGGGTGGGGTATAAATAAATAAATAAATAAATAAATAAATAAATAAATAAATGCTGTTTTTAATGTCCCAAAAATTGCATGGCTGGTGGTGTAGAGGCCAGGTAAGCTTCTTAGATGGGACAGCTGCAGCATGAATGTTCATTTCAAGATCCCCCGCAGAAAAAGAGAAACTCTTCAAGTTTCAAAAAAGCAGAAAGGGAGGAGCTGGGCCATAATTTAAAAATTGCTAATTGAAGAGTCAGGCGTAATGGACCTCAAAAGCGTTGAGAATGTGATGGTTGTATGCCATCGCCAGCACTACCTAGCAGCATAAAAGCTAGAGAGAATTACTGTACAGTAGTAAACCCCTTCCCGCCCGGGGAACATTATCCTCTCTAACTCACTTATCTGCAATGTACAGAGACTGTGCAAAGTGTATTTTGGAACCGATCCCCGCAGATACCATGGACTTTATTGTACAAACAACCACAATAACATCATAATGCTAATGATGGAGGGGAAAAAAGAGTCCTGCCACGCTAATGTTCAACACGTCCGTTAATGGCCATAACACCTTTCTTTCCAGCTACAACTTTAAGGATTGCTTTAATAAACTGTGAAAATAAATAATGATGGGCAATCAAAGAACATTACTTTTGTCCTGGATGGCCTTACATGCAAGAAGTGTAAACACACATGGTACTTAGCAGATCCAATGTAAACAAAAGACAGACCTTGTGATAAGAGTATTAGCGGAGCAACAAGTTACCAAGTTTACATGGTGAAAAATAATTGCCTTCCTTCTCTGATTCTCATCTTGCTTTTTATAAATCAGCAGTGGCAGGGTTTATTTGTTCGTTTGCTTTGGAAAGGAAAAAAACTTTCCCAGTGGTAAATTTAGAATGATCCTGTGTATGAGGGCAGAAAGGAAGTAAACTGGCAAAAATTGTAGTTTTAAGCTGGATGTTTACTAAACTACAAACAATAATTGTAAGACTTGTTACCTTTTCCTGGCGGCTAAGAACTAGGGTTTCTAAAAACGTCTGTAAAACAGGAGCCTGCCCGAGATGGTGGTTGAGTTCACATGTCTGTTTTTAAGAATTCATCTAAGGAAAGGGATACGGATTTATGTCTTGATTTCACTTTGGTTGCTAGGTCTCAGGGCGGTAACTGAAGTCTTAGGGATGATCCCTAACTGTGTTGGTTCTGGCACTGGAAATCTAAAAAATCCAGTACTGTACTGTCAAGCTCTCTCTGTGGGATGACCTCTAAAGACAGCTTGGAAAGCCCAGCAAGTTCAAAAAGTTTTTTATTTCAGCTGCAGGCAAGTTTGATCACATCTTCCTGACCCTAGCCTGTCTGCATTGGCTCCCTGTCGGTTTCCGTGCCAAATTCAAGGTTTCGGTATTGACATATAAAGCCCTGAACAGTCTGGGACCTTGTTGCCTGATGGAGCGTCTCTCCCCTGCTCCTCAAAGAGTGGCTATCCTGAGAGAGGTCAAGAACACATTAACTAGAAACCAGGCTTTCTTGGTGGTGGCCCCATCTGAAGTGATTGGTTCTCAGACTTGATTAATTAAATCTCAGTTGGCTGCAGCAGGGAGAGATAAAGTAACAAGAAAAAAGCACTGGGGTCTTGGGGGGGGGGGAATAAAAAAAGTACATAGTGGGCAATACCTTTTTTTGACTAACAAATCTCAGAAAAAGGTAAACTTTCCCATCCTGTAGGGTTATTCATCATCAGGTTTGTAGTGCAGGGTGAAAAACAGACAAGTCCAAAAAAATCAGCCTAGCCAGACATTAAGGTTTCGGGGTCCGATTGTTCAAAAGCAAAATTCCAAAATGGAGACTGCAAAACTGTAGAATCAGATTCGGATTTCAGATCATGGATGTAGATTCAACAGTCTTTCTCCATCTGATCCGGACAAAACAATGGTATCACAAACGAGACATATAAGAGCGAGCGGCTGGCCAGCCAGCCAGAACTGTGGGCCTGTAAATGAGCAGCATCCACGTGAGGGGAAAAAAAAATGTCTGACAGTTCTGCAAACATTTCTGGAGCAGCACAAACAGAGGGCTCACATTCTTTGAAAAGGGGCCCCTTGCAATTCCTAGATGGGGCAGGGCACAGTGGGGCGGGTGAAATGTGCACGGGCTACAGCGTTAATTCACAGACGTTTATCCAACATTGGACTTTGAGAACTCTCTCTTCCAGACTCAGCAAAAATGTCACTGCTGATACCATAAGGCTGTGGATTAAGGATTAAAACGTGAATGGAATGTGGCAGAGAAAGAGGAAGTGGCTTCAACAGACAAAATAACACTGTTGTTTGAGACGGGATCAAAGCTGAAGGCAGGAGGACTTCCAACTGTGATCTCTCTGGTTCAAAGGCCAGAGTTGCTGCGGTGGAGGAACCACCACCTAAAAATCAAATCACTTAGGTTTGAAAGGAAGTACTACATCTGGGATTTGAGTTTAAGGGTGCTGTCGATGACACTTGATGTTCCAAACAGCTCAGGGTCTTCCTCCTTTCGGAGGGACTCTCTCCCTATAGATTTACCTGCCCAAACGTTGAGATCTTCAAGGAAGGCCGTTCCCTCGGTCCCAGGGGGTGGGGGAACACTTTACGGAGAGAGTATGGGGAAAGGACTTCCCGTGATGACCCCATGGTGGTGGAAAGCAATCCCCTTTGAGACCTAACTGGTGCTGCTGATCCCCAAGGTGGAACCTGGCTCTTCAAGCCGAACATTCAAGGCCAAGCTGAATCATCTCCAACAAAGGAAACTGGAAAGGGTGGGGGAAAAAGAAACCAGATGTGCAGCAAAATGCATCGGTTCCAGAATGAAGGCCAACAGAGGAGAGCGGCCAGGCGTCTGCAAGTTTCCACCCTCCGGACTGCCCACCCTGCCGCCTCCTTCTCTCTCTTCTGCCCACCACAGACAGACAACCAATGCCATGTTCATAATTCTGGTTTATTTTGCTTTTTTATACCAAACAATTTTACTCTTTTGATTTTCTTTAAAAAAAAATACACACACCCAGCAATCATAATCTCAGAGAAGGAGAGAAAAAAGTATCCCCCCCCAATCTAGACATACATCCTCCATGCCAGAAAAAAATGACCGCTAATACTCCCGCTGCCCACTTTCCCCAAACTGAAGTACCTGTTCGTACCACAAAAGGGCTGGGGATGGGCAGGAGTGGAAGAGCAGCCTTCTCAAGCCTCCTTAATCTCCCTTTAATGCACTGAGAACTTGGCTTCATTCACAGATGACTCTGTTGGCTTTCAGTGCCTTCCAACGAGACACAGCTAAACTTGGGCGGGCCAGAGAAAACAGGGGCCGTGGCAACCGTTTGCATTTCGGAATCTGTGATTTTATCGCCGATGCCCCATTGACAATGAAACGGGGAGCAACCAGTGGGCCCCAATGATTCCCTTTTGTCTCTGGCCATTCAGAGTTCAGCTTCATCTCCATCAAAAGGGGAAAAAATCAAGAGTTGACTCCAAATTGATGCCAACTCCTAGAAGACAGAGAAGGCATGGAAAAAAACTTGAGTGTCCTGGAGCAGGGCTGCTGTTACACAGCTGGATGTCTGCCGAAGGGGGACCTCTCCGAATGGAATGGTTTGCCGGAACCCAAGTCACAGCTATCATGGTGCAAGAATCAGATTCTGGCCAACAGTTGTTTCCTATGTATAAAAAAAATGGTCCTCAAAAATTCCAAATGACGTTTCCGATACAGCATCAAGAACCTGAGAATTTGGTCCAGAAGAACATGGACGACCCATGAGGTTCTCTGCCCTCAATAAGCTCTGGTGAGCTGAAACTTTGGCTTTAGTCGATTCCTCTCCTGCTGTAGGAGGTGGATTGTAATCAGCTATGTGAGTAACAGAGAAAACCAAACTGGCCTGATTGCTCCTATGCACAGGGCAGAAAACACTGAAATAGTGAGACACAACCAGTATGCCACAGACTTGGAAGAATTTCCAAATCCAGCTAAGGATACCCACTGAGCTGGGCAGGGGCAGCTATCGAGAAGACCGAAGCACGAGGAACAACGGCCGGCTGGTGGGCCACGGTAAACAAAAAGCAGCGCAGCAGCTCCCAAGAGGGGAGGGTGGTTTTGCAAATCCCACAACTGGGTAAGCTTTGTGTGCAAGCTGCATTGCATGCCCAATCCATGAGCAGTGGTGGTCAGGAAGTCAAGGAATGGATGCCACCCCGTCCGTCGGGACTGAGGGTGGTTTTGCAAATCCCACAACTGGGCAAGCTTTGTGCGCAAGCCGCATTGAATGCCCCATCCATGAGCGGTGGTGTCAGGAAGTCAAGGAATGGATGCCGCCCCGTCCGTCAGGACCAAGAAGGCCAATGTGCAGGGAGACACGACAGCCTCTCGGCTCCAACGCCACCGGCTTGGACCGAGGCGCCTGCAGCGCAGTGGGAGCGGTGCGTGTGTAGCAGAAAGATACTTCTATACCGCCTGCGCCCCTGCTGGTTAAGCAGCGAGTGCAACACTGCCAGCTCACACTCAGAAGGAACTCCCCACGGTCGGGGGTACCTGCGTGCCCTCTTTGAGCCTTGCTGACCTGAGATGCCCAAGGCATGCTGGACCAGGGTGTACACTGCATACGGCTAAAGTCACCCGGTGGCGACAGGAAATACCCTTGACTCCCAACTACCCACCCCCTGTGCCCGTAAGGTGCCAGCATGGTTTCTCTCTACTGGCTGCCAGGAAGAGCTCCAGAAGCAAGGCTTGGCTGGGGAGGAAGAAAACCCCCCCCCAAGTTCTACAGGTAAGTGTCTTCGCTCTCCTGAGAACTCAGGCTCTCTTTGGACTGGTGGAGGAGGGAGGCGTTGGGCTCCAGCAAAGTGGGAGGCTCCTCCTCTTCCGGAACGGGCCCGTTGGCCAAGCGGTCTTTCCTGGGGTCCTCTTTCTTGTGCCCTTTGGGGAGTTTGTTTTTGCGGCCCTTGGGAGACAACGTGGCGCCAGGGGGCAGGATGATGGAAGGTGAGGGCTCCACGGCTTTGTGGGAATGAGGCTCGGAGTCATTGATGGCCTTGGCGCCGTGGAAGCGGGGAGGGGACCTGCACTGCAACTCTCCTCGCTTCTCCTTCCACTTCTTCAGCTGGATCAGGTGCTCCCGCTCAATGTGGCGCTCCGTGACGGGCAGCTCTATGATCTAAAGCGGGAACAAACGTAAACGGCTGTGGACATTTCTGAGAGAACACGCTGAAAGGAGGGCTGAGATAGAGATGGGAATGGCAGGGAGACCGGGTCTTTCCAAGACAATGTCTTGAGAAGTTACCCCCTGCTCTCCCTGTGACACCTTCTGCCTCAAGCTCCCGGTCTCTACCAGGTCCCGTGAACAGGACAACATATCTATATCTGCATCCCTGTTGTCTTCTTCCCTTGGCAGAACCTGAATGCGTGCTGAACCCTGAACACAACGGACCTTCCCAGGAATAAGGAGGCTGTCAATATTCCAGAGGTTGCTGGCGTTCCATTCTCATCCTCTCTGCCCTGGGGGGAGGCCTGCAAAGCCCCCCCCCCGACACTGATGGGAGCTGCAGGCCAACAACATCTACAGTGCTGCAGGTTCTCTGGCTCAGAGGCAAGCCACGCTCCAGATTGTGCGGGCACAATAATGCATGAGGAGAGTTCTCAGCGGTGGGCGGAAGCCCCTCCCCCCACTTGCCCTGCTATGGATCTCTCTGCGTGTGATCAGCACAAAAGATTCACAGCTCATTCACTTGAATTCACCCAGAACATCTCTTCAGATTTTTTTTTAAAATATACCAATCCCAAACATGCTGGGAGTGGAGCAAGCAGGGTTCACATTTACAGAACATTAGGGCTGCCCTCTGCAACATTTATTTGAATTTCGAACAACACCTCTTCTGGCATGGAGAAGGGCAAGCTGAAATGAGATGACAAACAAGATTGCAGGCCTGTTCAAGCAGACCTCCTGTCCCAGGAGGAAAGCGGCTGCTATTCTCGAACTACCTGTTTGTGAAAAGCTTAGGGGAGCTGGGACTCTTCCCAGGGAGCTTCTGGCCACAGAGAACACTTTAAAAAAGAGATAAAAGAGAACACTTCCTCTAGAGGAAGTGAAGCCAAAAGAGATCTCTGGATATCCGGCCATGAGCAAAGAGTATACAGGCAGAAAGTGTGGCTGAATGAGGCCCAGCCTAATCCTTTGGACACGGCCATACGCTTATGTTCACATCCAGTCAAGAACTATCTCTCCCCTTTGGTTCTGTGGATACACACTCATGAGTCCCTCAGGCACAACCTGCAAGCCTGTGTTGTCCATGCGAAGAGCCCAGCTGCATTTTCTTCAGCTGGAAGCACAACGCTGATGGGTCCCCTCACCAGTGCCTGCAGACAAGGGGGCGTGAATCTCTCTGTGGCAGCTTTCCCCAGTCGGGAGCCCATTCTGATATGCAGGATGGCCACTCCCATCATCCCCGGCCATCAGGATCAGCAGTTGTGGGAAAATGGGCACCTTGTTGCTTTAAGTATACCGGCTAGCCCAGAAGAGGTCGGCCCTTGGCCTCCCAGGCATCTTGACCTTTGGCTCCCAGGATCTGCGGCTACTGGCCAGGCCGGTTACACCTTTTGCGAACCGTCCAAAGGGTCAAAGTGTGGGAACCCCTGGGCTAGGCAGTGTTCCTTCTGACTCCCAGTTGAGACCCAGGACCAAGGACTGTCGTCCCCCATGTGCCTTGGCAGTTCCTCCACACACCAAAAATGGTCTTCAAGATGCCCTCCTTTGCCATCCTGTGCATTTACCACATTGCATCTGCTTTTTTTAAAGCAGGAACACAGCTTGATGCTTGAGAACTGGTGCATCCAGAGGCAAGACCTCTATGATGCAGAAGCAACCAGGATGTTTTTTCCCTGCTTCAAAAAAGACACACACTTGGGATTTAAACACAGGGTACCAAAGGCTGCCTACCTCAAAGAGGCCTGCTCTTCCAGCAGGGGGCAGCCTGGGCCTTTTAGCACAGCAACACAACCACACCAGCTGTGGGCCTTCACATTGCAGCCACCTTCTGCAGCGGGGAACCACCGGTCTCCACCTTGTGTTGCCAATAGGCTTTCAAGAAAGAAGGTGTGCTACCTGGCCACAATTGGGCGGGTGGGGGCTTCTTGTTTCTTTCCACAGCCCCCCCCCAAAGATTCCTGAAGGATGAGAAAGCTCCCCTTGTTTGAAACTTTTATACATTGCTCCAATATAAATATTATATTGATTCAACTCAACCCAGATTCCTTTCATCCTGGATCACACGCCCACTTTGTTGTTCTAATTTTATCATCATTGCTGGTCCACCTAACCAGTTCTTTAATGAAGAGCAGTAGCTTCACAAAGGAACCTGGCAAGAGTCCTCCTCAGTCTGGCTTCTGGGAAGTTTTTAAGTGGAGAAGTACTGGGAAGATCAAGCCGGGCCCCTGAGGCATGCCCCATGCCTTCCTGTTCCAATCTGCACTTGCGGTGTCTACTCTGTGGATTTTACCGACCAACCAAAGGGAGGCACAAAGTTACTGGTGGGGGGGAGCTAAAGACATAGCCGCAGTTCAGAGTGTTGTAATTTACTTTCCCCGAGACCTCCATGTGCCTGCATTTAGGAATGTTAGATCACAGATTCAGACACAAAATCCAAGCAAAGCCCTAAAATTCCCATTTTACAGGTGAGGGACACAGAGGTTGAGAAATGAGCAACAAAGCTGGCCAAGCCAGAGACATTTAAAAAATATATTATTTTGCTGTTTTACATTAGGAATTAGCAAGCTTTGCTCATTTGTAGCAAACTAAAATAAATCTATTGGTTAGAAACTGATTCAATTGTTGCACCTCTATTATCCCTTGACTTTAAATATGAACAGGCCCTGCTAACATCCCAGAGTGGAAACAATCTGGGTCACATTGATTTTTGCATTCCCTGATGCTCTAACATTCCCACCAGCCCGATTCTGCAAGATTAAAATAGCCAAGCAAGCATTTTTAACGTGCAGTGTGCGGTGTAAGAAACTCTTGCTACACTGACTGCTGAAGAACAATCCAAAATTGGCCGAATGATAAATGAGTAAGCCTGCTTCGTCGGCAGAGATGTCTACGGCATATATACAATACTTGCACACTCTCAGAGTTCTGGGCAGCTTCAAAATGTGTTGTTTCTTATGTTCACAAAAGCAGCTCCCCAAGTTCCATTTATTGGCTGAAATCCTGTTGCTCAGTTATGCAAACAGAATAACCTTTGTAAGCAAGCTTGGATTCCTTTCTTCAGGACCAAGAGACAGACTGAGTTTGAGAATCTCGAATTGGTAACCAACCTATGGTCTTCAGGGAAACCGAGGCAGCCATCAGTGCTAAAAGACCCAGTGACAAAAGCACTCCCCCTCCCCTTTTACCTCTTGTACAAGGAATGTCTCCTGCATGATCTTGGGGTTCAGGGCCCTCAGCTGCTCCATTGTCTCATACTGCCCTTGGCAGGATTTCAGCTTCTCAGACGAACCCAGCGTGTATTTCAGCAGCACTAGGCCCACCCGGAAGATAATCTTGACACCTGGGGGAAAAACAGTTTACCACCAATTACTCACCAAGGGAGGCAGTGCAGTGGTCATCCATCTTTATAAAAAGGTAAAGGGTTCCCCTAGACATTGAGTCCAGTCGTGTCCAACTCTAGGGCACAGTGCTCATCCCCGTTTCCAAGCCATAGAGCCAGCGTTTTTGTCCGAAGATAGTTTCCGTGGTCACGTGGCCAGCGCGACTAGACACGGAACGCCGTGACCTTCCCACCGTGGTGGTACCTATTTATCAACTTGCATTTTTGCATGCTTTTGTACGGCTAGGTTGGCAGGAGCTGGGACAAGCGACGGGAGCTCCCTCCGTCCCGTGGATTTGATCTCACGACGGCTGGTCTTCTGACCTTGCAGGACAGAGGTTTCTGCAGTTTAACCTGCAGTGCCACCACGTCCCAGGTTTATACCTACAGCTTATTTGTCACATTTATTACCCCACTTGTTCCCTATCAGCTCAAGGCAGATTCCGGAACTCTCCTCCTCCTGGTTTTTATCCTCACAACAGCACTATGAAGTAGGTAAGACAACAGGGAGCATGGCTGAGGTCCTTTCATGGTTTCATTTCATTTTCTCTCTCTCCCTCGGTCCAAACGTGGGGATTTGAAACCAGATCTCCCAAGTCCCAGTCCAACATACTATCCACTTAACTATACCCCTGACATGTCCAATGTAAAGCCAACAGAAGGACAGACTTGTTATTAACAATCCTGAGAGGTTGAAGTGGGGTAAAACTATTTTCCTGTGGGTCCCCCCTTTCCACTGCTGAGGAACTGCTCCCCCTTCCCAATGTGGCCAGCATGCATGCCTGTTCCCACTGCCCCCGGTTAAGGCCAGCCACAAAAGAAATGTGAAACTGGCCCAGCTGAGAAGGGACCCCACCAATACCTTCGCAGAAAAACATGTCCCAGACACGCAGCACTGAACTCCAGGGCAAGGTCCTGGAAAAGGCACACATGAACCACTCCGTCATGTACAGGATGGGGTCGATCTTCTGTTTGCTCAGATGCTTGTGAGCCGCGGGGGAGACCCTGCGCAGGAGAGAGAAAAGGATCTCCCCGTCCAGCTGGATGGCCTCCTGCAGAGGACAGAAGGGAAGGCTTTAGTGGAAAGGCAAACGCCACCCGGAGACAGTCCGGCCGCCCATCCCTTTTCAGGATATCTGTTCAGGGCCCTGCTTACTTCGGAGAAAGGGTTTACATCCATTGAAGTCCATCCCCTCCAATTACTAAGCCAATTGGCATCATTCAGATTCAACTGTGAGGGTCAGCAAAGCACAGCACCCCAGACATTAACTGGACAGGAACCCCCATCCGTCCCAGCCAGCAATGTCTGAAGGGGTGCGCTTTGCCTACCCCTGTTTTGACTTTTTTTAAAAAACCAAACACTCAAGTATCAAAATTTACCTCCAGCCATGTGAAAATAAAGGCTATCGAGTTTCACTTAATTTCCCACTGATCAAGGATCTGGGGCGCTTATGGCCAGGATGGTGACAGTACTGAGTACAGAACCAGGTTCTGTTTCGGGGTCCCGCCCCCCAAAATGGAAGGCCAAATGTTTTCTGACTGCCTTGTCTCCCCCCCAACCCCCAAGGGCAGCTTCGGGTGAAATTTCACCCTAGCCCTCACCTGAGAGACTCATCTGAGTGCCTGAAGACCCCCTTGTCTCTCATTGCACCCCAATACATCACACAAGACACCATGGCTTCAACATGAAGGGCGATCTTCAGATTTCTGTGCCATTCCGGCTGGCCTCAAAAAGTTACTACAATACTAGGGGATTTTTCTTATGCTTGACCCAGTGGCCTCCGCTTTTGTATCTCTTGCCGGAATTGTCCTTTTTGACCCCTTGGTCGCACCCCAGAGTGGCAGCAGGACTATTCTGAGGCCTGTCTGGAACAGAGGGAGAAGGTCCAAAGCGGTCGTCCACAAGTGAGCATCACTCACCAACTTCTCACTGTAGTAGCCAGGAAGGTACTTCTCACAAATCTGCACAAGGCACCAAAAAGCTTGCTGGGGGAGGAAAGATGGAGAACAACACAAAGTGTTAGCCTTTGGCGCAGAGCTGTTCACGGCAACATAGCTAGCTTCGAACTGCGTCTGAAATGACTGTCCTGCACCTTGACTTACTAACGCCCTTCAAACGGAGTTTTTCAAATCTCAAACAACATAGGGTGGGCTCTGCCTTCTGTGCAGCCTTTTCAGAGTGCTTTCTGAGCCTCCTTCGGCTTCCACAGAAGAGGGCTGTGTTTCTGTATACACTGGAAAACTGCAACCATCTGAGGTCCCTCCCTCAAATCCACCAGCAGGACACAGAAGAGGAAAATGAGATGGGAAGTCAGGTCATCCCACTAGACCTGCTGAAAATGCTATTTTTTAAAATTTATTTTCCCCTTCCCTCCCAACCCTCCTTTCCCTTTAGTGTTGTAACTTTCTCAATTATCAGCCTGCAAGCGTGGATAGTCCTTATTGACTGCATGTAAGCTGCTGCAGGGTCCCATGGCAGCTAAGCAATGGGATAGACTCCAATAAACAACAGCAAGGCATAGGATCTTAACCCTAAACTCATATACAGTCCCAGTTGTTTCAACCACCCAGAGCAGAAACACCCTGGAAGGCAGGCTCAGCTCGCCTTGAGGACTCAACCCAGGCATCTGGCAAATACGCTTACAATCTAGATGCTCATTCGTGTTCTTTTAAAGCCAGGACGGCAGAATCTTTGGCTTTCCAAAGGTTCTCAATTTCATCTCCCACAACCTCGTTGCCAAAAAACCCACAGCAACCATTAGATCCCAGCCGTGAAAGCCTTCGCGAATATATTGTTCTCAATTTCATCTCCCACAACCTCTTGTTGCCGGTCGCGCTGGCTGAGGCTTCTCAAGAGTGGAAGTCAAACACATTTGTGAGCCAAAAGCTCCCCAGCCCTATTTTAAGTATTTTTTTAAAAAACACACCTCTCCCTCGAATGGTATGGTTCTAGTTAAATTTAGAGCCTCCTGTATCCATTTCACATCTCCCAGTCACAACCCTTTAGAAGCCAAGGGATGGTTGTGCAATATCTCCTAACCCGATGCCTTCCAGATGCCTTGGACTCCATCTCCCATGATCCTTCATTATGGGTCACATTAGGTGGGGCTGATGGGATCAGCAGTCTAACTCTTTTTGAGAGTGCCATTTCAGAGGAATGCTGCTGGAGTGGGTGAGAAATTCCCACCGCAGTTTAGGTGCCAGCCCTTGACCTCCTGCTGTTTCCACAGAGAGGGGCTCATGCTTCTCTTGGCCATCACACACCCCCGGAGCCCCACAGGGGACCTTCTAAGCAAGTGCAGGATGAGGCCTCGCCTACCTCTGCAGGCATGTGCATCAACAGAACGGCAGCAATGGGTGCCTGAGCCTGGCAGTAACCTTCCTCCGGCCGATACAGCGTGTAGGCCTTCAGCACCCGGAACAAATCCTGCTGCCTGCAGAAACAACAGCCCACATAAGGGATGTGAAGATGAAGGTAGAATAGAGGAGAAAAATGCCTTCTCACTCATAAGCCCTAGAACTGTACAGAGGTCAGACTAGATAATGTATTTAATCTATTTTCAGAAGTTATGTCTTTTTCAAGGGGTGAAAGATATCTGCTCATCATGGCACGTGACTTTCCTCCTCCGGGGATCTTGCATTTCTCGTGCTTTGTTTTGTGGCTGGTGACTGGAAGGTAAACGTGGACTTAATGTTCCATTATTTTTGTTGATGCGTGCCTTTCTGAGGAAATGCCACTGTGGGAAGGAAATAAGGGTTAAACATAGATATTCGGTTCATGCACATAAAAATGCTCACATGCTGAAACCCAATTCTCAGCTCCACTGGCTTCGAAGTGACCTTAGAAAACTTCAAGCTAGTATCCAGGAATGTATATATATTCCACAATTCCATGGGAGGGCAGAAAATATTTGATCTGTATGTTGAAACACACACACACACACACACACCCCACCGTACACCAGCTAACATGCTCCTGAGGACAAGACAAACCTGCTGAATGAAAGTTACAGTAAGGAAAGTTACAATGAAATCAAAGCAGAAGAGAACAAAGGTGTCAATCTTCTCAGTTCCAAGCCCAGCTTCAGTTTGGAAAACAGAGAAAGGGCCTTTCCCAAAAACTGCATGCAGGCTTGGTTCCGGAAGAGTGGTCACCTCTTCTTTTCAGCCTTCTGTGGAACTATTAAATCCTTCCTGCTTTGGAAGGCATTTTGCTTTTAGAGGCTGGATTTTATTGCCTCCCTACCCTATTTATGCACAATTCCCTTCTGTGCATGTGCGTGTAAACATCTTTATTCCAATTCATTAGGATTCTTACTCTGACCACTGGTTTAAAAGAATGTTTTCCCGCATGTGTTTGTTTATTCCGTACTTCTTCTTAATTGCATTTGTATCTCACCTTTCCTCTTCACTCTGTCCTCACAACAACCCTGTGGGGTAAATTAGCCCAAGAGAGTGTGCGACTTAACAATAGGATCCCTTGGCTTAGTAGATCTACACCCCACTCCCAAGATTCTACCCGCTACACCACCATGGCATTCTATGAAAGCGATGATAGGAACTGTATGAGTAACTTCTGAGTTGTAACTGCTTTAAAAAGCATGAATAAAAAGAGACTGAAAGAACCCAGCTGCCTCTGGGTTCCAGAAGGTGCAAACCATCACAGCCGGTGTTTCCTCCCCCACATCGGGACACCTCCCACCCGCTAGAAGGTTCTTCAATATGCCCAGAGAGGCTGCTCTTTGTACATTAGGCACGCCGAGGGTGGTCAAGGCAACTTGGCAGAGTTTTTCCCTTTCGGCATGGCCGTTTCGCAAATCTGCTTCCTCTCGGCCCTGCCAGGAAGCCACTGTGCCAAGAAGTCTGTGTGGCATTCACACATAGTTAAGCAACCAATGACAGACACGTAAAGGAAATGTTTTGAAGCACACCTGCTTTCCAAGCCACCAGGAGAGTGTGGGCATCTCTGTGTGTGCATCCACACGCTGTGTGAGATCTGTTGCTCTATAAAGAACCCATAGTGTATCTGGCCCAGGGTTCTATTCCCACCCCAGGTAACTCGATAGTCCCTTCGGCTGGTGTTCCTCCAGCAAGTGGTTTTCTGCATTTTCTGCTGCATAAAATAGTCACTCTGATGACAGCACTTTAGCAAAAGTCTACAGGGTTTCCATTTAGACAGTTCAGGTTGGAGAGGGGTACTGTTGAGGCTTAGAGGGCCATATTGCCATTTGACAAGTGAAACTGTCATTTGGCTAATACAATTTAGAAAGACAGATGACCCCAAGTTAAATACAGCCTCTGATAGAACTAGAGGTAAAATATAGCCCATGGCACACTTATTTTTGTAGTCATAAAGTCATCCAGTTTGGTAAATGCCTCCTTGTGGCAGCACGTTCCACAGTTCAAGAATATGCTGGGCAGAGAATCCTATTAACTTATAAATGGCAAATTTCAATGGTAAATTCCTGCTAAGGATGCCCACTGAGTAAATCACAAAAAAAAAAGTCAAAATCCAGCCAGCCCGACTAGACCCTCCACAGGGATACCCCCACACGACAGAAAGGAGAGATCAGTAGCGTCAAAGCCTACCCGTGGCCTCCTCGGGAAACGAACATTTCGTGGAATGGAAACTGCCTGTGGAGATCCCGTTCAATCACATCCAGCCACTTGGGATCCCCTGCCGCCGTGTCCAGCTCCTGCAGATCAGAAAAAGCAACCGCTGAGAGATTCCCACTGAGAAATGAGGGACATCACAAGGACAAGCCGCACTCCTTATTGTTGAGAGCGACACGTCCAACAGATTCTGGAGCTGAGGATACGAGGACGACTTATCGGAAACAAAACAGCAAAAGTCACACAGGACCTCCAGAGAAAGGAACACATTTTTGAATTCACCCGACACCCAGAAAAGGAATCAATATGAGAGAAGTTTAGGTAGAATGCTGAAAAGTGAAAAAGTCACACAGGACCTCCAGAGAAAGGATCACATTTTAGAATTCACCCGACACCCAGAAAAGGAACCAATATGAGAGGGGAGAAGTTTAGGTGGAATGCTGAAAAGTCTACAAAGACATTACTTACAAGCAAGAGACCGAATGAGAGGAACGTACCTTATAACAAGGTCATGAGAATCTAGCTCCACAATGTGTCGTTGGGCTAGCCGTCATTCTCGACACACTCAAGCCAAGCTGTCTACCTGTCACCTTCTCCCTAAGCTTTCTAACTGGAGTCACCAAGGTCTGAGTGTCTGCTAAGCATATACTCTACCAACGACCTGTTTTCCTCCTGATCGACTCTTCTAAAGCCACGGAAGGACTCAGCAACACACACAGAAAACAACACACACAGCCTCCCAAAGGCAAGCAGAAAACAATGTGAAATTAAGTCAGATACTTTACTCGTAAAAGCAAAAAAAATGCAAAATGTGAAGGTGTATGTCAAGGATGAGAGAAAGAATTAAATATCTCAATCAGATCAGATTAATGGTTCGAAGCACGGAATACCTGCCAACACCACCTGGTGACTTTTAGCGTTTCTATAAAAGGAAGTTTAACCTACTGGAGAAAATTATAGGTCAAGTCCTAAAAAGAACTCGTGAACTGAGATTACTTTCACTCTTATGTAGGTCACAACGAAAAGCCACATTTCAAGGATTTAATCACCTTTCTACTAATAGCAGCTTCCATGGAGATTACAATCTGTGTTTGGAATCTAGCCCTCATGAGCAAATTAACAAGGTTCCTGGATGAAGCAGATTATCTAGATCCATTTCAGTCTGGCTTCAGGCCTGGTTACAGCTTTGGTCATCCTGGTGGAAGACCTACGCCAGGAACTGGACAGGGGAAATGTGTCCCTGTGGATTCTGCTGGACCTTTCAGTGGCTTTCCATACCATCAACCATGGTCTCCTTCTGAGGCACCTTTCACAGATGGGTTTTGTCTTACAATGATTCCAATCCATCCTGGATGACCTAACTCAGAAGGCGCTGCCTGTATGGTGTCCCTCAGGGTTCAGTCTTTTTCTCCATGTTATTCAGTATCTCCAAGAAACTGCTCGAAAGCTTGTCCAGAGTTTGGGGGTTCAATACCATCAGGATGCAGATGACACCCAACTCTCTCTTTCCTTTCCTTTCCATTCAATTGAAAGGAAGCTGTTCTGTGCTTAAGACCAGTGTCTATAATGCACTGGATGGGGGCTAACACACTGAAACTTAATCCAGACAAAACAGAAGTATTCCTGGTCAGACAAATCAGGGGATAGGGATTTAGCCTGTACTGGATGGGGTTACACTGAACTATGGAATATAAAACAAAGGACCACAGACTGAAAGTACCAAAAATCCATTCCAAACCCAAACAAATACGATGCCTAAGGCTGCAGTTAACTACACGGTCATTGCATTAATTTCCCATGTGGACAAAGTTCTGTAAACAATTTTACATTCCCCCCCTTCAAATATGGAGAAGTGCACATCTCAGGGGAAAAAGAGGCATTAAAGATCACATTGCAAATGGATATTGATTAGTGTAACGTAAGAAAGAATTTCCAAAGAAAATTATTTTCTTTTTCATTAATAAGAATAACAATACAAGACAATTCTGATGTATGGCAACCCTTTTCAGTTTTTTTTAAAGGTAGAAAATAGAGTGACGTAGTTGACGAGTCCCTTCTTCTAGGGTTGCTCTGGGACTTTGGATGTTGTCCCAGGATATGCAGGAGGCCTCTTTTCTTAAGAGGCACAGTGGGGGAATCCAACACACAACCTTGGGCTCCACGACCAGATATCAGATGACAGTAAAGCCTGTGGTTATGCAATCATGAAAAGCTATGGATCATTCTAGAACTGATGCAGAATTTTAACTCTGGACAAGGACAGAGAGAAACAAAATGATTTGCATGGGTAAAAGTGTGAGCCAAGGGCGTATTTTATCTCCTCATCCATTCAGTGTTTATGCAGAATACATCATTGGAAGAAACATGAAATATTTAATATAGAAAATGACACACATTACTGGAAGAAAACAGCAATGACTTGAACTGAGTATTAAGGAAGGTTAAAGAAACTAGTGCAGAAGGAGAATTACAGCTGAATGATGAAAAAGATGGAAATAATAACTATGGAAGAATTACACTGCTTTAATACTGATGATGAAGAAACTGAAATTGTGATAAATTTTTCTACTTATTTTTTTTCCTACAGTTTTTCTTTATCTATTGGTTTCAGTACCAAATTGAACAGGCACTGTAGCCAAGAAGTCAGAAAGAGGATGGGACTTAGAAAAAACAGATATGAAGAAAGTATAAAAAAATCCCCAAATATTGCTGACTGTATCACTGAAACCAAGACCAAGGCCAACATCATCTGTACAACTGTATTCCCAATTACAGTGTACAGATAGGAAATCTGGACAATGAAAAAAGATGATGGGGGGAGAAAGCCATTCATTTGTGCTGTGATGTTGGAGGACAGTTCTACAGATCCTATGGACCACCAGAAAAACAAATGTATGGGTTTGATATGAACTTAGGCTGAATTCTCACCAGAAGCTACAATAAGTAAACAGAGGCAATGGTATTTTGGGCCCATCAAGAGGCAACAATAGGATCTGGAAAAGACAAGAGGGCTGGGAAGAGCAGAAGGCAGCCTGAGAGGGACCCCATAAAGGAGGACAGTTCTGCAAGATCTGGTTTTTTTTAAAATGATACCACCTCACAGCATTGCCATATATTGGAAGACTGAAAAAACAGGCTGCAATCTAGTGATAAACATACCACAAAACCATTAAGAGGTGGGTTTTCTGATTTCCAAAAGCCCAGTTTTGACAAAGTGGTTTTTAATGGATTTGTGATCTGTGCTTTTTCTTTAGCTGACGTGTTTTCAATTTGTAATTGCATTTTAAGATATTATAACCACCACATTTTATAGCACTTAGGGACTATAATGTGTATCTTTTTTTAAAAAATCTATTTTTAATAGTATCTATTCCAACCTTGTTGTAAGGTGCTTTTGATCCCAGCTCATGGAGAACGGTTCAATATGAATCAAAGAAATAAACAACAGCAAGTAAAATTGGAAGTTCTCTTTTTCCTCACCCAAAAGAATACAAGGATCGCGTGGCTGTCTTGTGTCCAGGTTTTTATACAATTCTACTACTGCTTAGACTACATGTGTTCAAATCCCTGATCTGTATTGCTAGGAGGCATGTTTAAATCGCAAGAGACGGCGTATGGCCCAGGGGGAGTTGTAGGTAATTGATTCTACTGCAGTCCTAGGGATTCTAAAGTGCAAGAGAGAGACACATTTCTTCTGCTACTGTGCCATTTTCCAGCAAGTGGTTCTTACATCAAATTTTCCAGCGTTGTGCTCCAACTTGACTTTGGCCCCTGACAGATACTGCCACGCTCGACCTCGCAATGATGGCGGAATCCCCTTCTGGCATCTCAGCCGAATCTGAAAAGGCAGAGAAGCCATTGTTAAGGTGTGGAATCATGTGCACAGTGAAGGCATCTGTTCCATTACCAGTGCTGAAGAAAAATCCAACTATCAGCCCAGCTGGCTTTGTGCATGAAATTGGGGGTGGGGAACACTTTGTTCTTTGCCTTAAGTGTCACAGTGCTTTGGCACTGCTCCTCTGGCATAAAAAAAAAAGACACAGAGATTAAGCTTACTAGTAAAGTACAGTAGAAACTCATCCGCGGCATCAGTATCTGCTGATTCACTTAACCCCAGTCAATGAAACTAGATCACCCAAAGCAGTTTAAATGCTGGCAGATCCATTCCTTGGATCCAGGCCAGGTTTTCAGAATGCCTGGAGCAAAGGAGCACAGGAATCTATGGCAGGATTTATACTGGCTTGGTCAAAGGGGGAGAGAGAGAGATTCTGGTATGAAAAAAACCTTCCTCTCGCCATACAAGGAAGGAATTCGTAAAACAAACTTTAAAAACATACTTGCTACTTGTTTGCTACTATTCACATTTTTCAGTATTGCTTGTACACAAACACATGAAAAATATAAACATATACCCAGAATATAAAGCAAATTGGTTATTTCTAACTAGTGCAGACCTGATGGCACTTTAACAAAACTCATTCATTCAATGAGTCTACTCTAGTGAGGCTTAACAATTGAATTTAATCCTGTATTTCTTTATTGAAACTGATCAAAAAATTGATCAGACAACATGACAAACTGCTATTACACTAAATGTGGAAATAAAAAATTCTGACCCCCCACACAGACAGGTTAGGTTCCTTTCTGTCCCATTAGACCACAGGCGGTGACTATGTGGCTCTAGATCAATTCACAGAAAGGCAGCTTGAAAAATAAGATTATACAGTACCAGATTTTCACCAGCTTGCACAACTGACTGGATCTGTAACACTCAAGACCACATCAACAAACATTTTAAAAGTTCTAAGAACGACACACTATGGATTTATTCACTCTTCTTTCGGGAAATCAAAGATCTTGGATGAAGTTAGAAGGTGGACGTGTTCAGGGGCTCCAGAGACCTAGATTACAGTTTTTCCCACAGGGTACCTCAGAGAATTTATGGGAGAGCACTTCAGTGGGCTCAAGGGGAAGCAAATGCAGGCTTCACAAGAAGGCACCAAAATTTGCTGCAAAAGCATAAAGAAAATGTGGAAGATTCAGAGAGGACAGCAGTTTAGGCAGGCTTCGTTTCATCCAGTCCACATCAGAGACAGTGTATGGAAGCTGACATTTTCCACCTGCTGCCTATGGGGAAAAACAGCTTGTGTTGCTGATGCCCAAACCACCTTTGGAGGCAAGCTACTGCCAACGGTCGGGGACGTCACACGGCAACATGTTAAGAGCTAAGTAAGAACTCGCAGCTCAGGGTGCTGGAGATTGTTACCTTTGCTTACTTTGCTCCCTGCTGAGTTCTAAGGGGATTATAACCAATTACCAGGTGTGCATGTGTGTGTGATATGCTGTCAAGTTGGAAATGACTTATAGAGACCCTAATAAGGGTTTTCAAGGTAAGTGAGGTAGTTAAGGAGCAGTTTTACCAGTTCCATTGCCCTACGGAGTTTCAGATGAACTGGGATTCGAACCCTGTTCTTCAGAGCCTTACTCCATCAACTCTAGCCACTCTACATCAAATTGGGAATCAGATACAAGACAGCCAAGAGTGAATAGAGTAACAGTGGGGTCTTTGTCTCACTTCCATGTCTCTCTCTAAAAGTGGGCCTAGGGTCTCTCTGGGAAGGGAGGGGGTGTTTATGCAATGGTTCTGTGACTCATGAGTAGATTTTTGTGGCTCTGGACTTATCTCTCTACGTTAGAGAAAGTTTATTGGAATTTCTGTTTTCCATGCTATATTATGTATCCACCTTTTTGGAACTGTTTTCTCTTTTTGACACCATCTTTTTGTTCCGTCCTTCTCCTTGTTCACTTTCTTTTTAAATAAACTTCATGAAACTTGCAAGCCTGGTCTTCAAGGCGAATGGGAGGGGGGTAGCACTTCTTTTCCACTTGTTCATTCTACAATTTGTGAAAGTATTCGGGTTTTTTTTCTCTGTATGGAGTGGTAGCAGCATAGGCTACACATTGCTCCGCCCCCAGGAAGCTAGGTACGCATTTTACTGATCTCAGAAAGATAGAAGGCTGAGTCAACCTTGAGCCGGCTACCAGATTGAACCCCGGATTATGAGCACAGTTTTGGCTGCATACTGCAGTTTAACCACCAGAAGACTCTTAACTATGCTTACTTTTTCTCCTTATGCTCACAGGGAAAGGGTAGGAGCAAAATGGTCCCCCAACCTGAAGCACCTGGGTGCAAAAGCTGCACCTGCAGCTTCAGGAAGGTAACCAAGGACACTGGGTTGTCACTATGCTTTTGAGGAGGATAGGTGGAGGTATCCGATCTCTGGCATAAAAGGATGAAGGGGAAGTCTATGTTCTGTCCAGAACTTGGAAGCATAATCTTTATAGACTACATCTCCCACAATCCTCCAGTCAGGTGCCATGCTGGCTGAGAATTCTGGGAGATGCAATCCGAGCAATTTGCTTCTGTGAGTTCTGATGAGGAGAGTTATGTCAACTTACGTCTGTCGGAGGCATCCTCTCTTCCACAGTGATTCTATGGACTTACTCAAGAGGGATGTGCTAAGAACTCAGATAATCAAAAAGTGTTATAGACATTCAAAGTGTTATTTCTACAGATCCTGCAGAGAAAGAAGTGTCAGTCAGTGATCTTGGCATGGAAGGCAGACAATTGCAGTCAGAAGCTGGCAGCAAACCAGAATTTGTTATCTTGGGATGAACCGATAGTGAAAACAGGTCTGTGAATGAACAAAAGGACGTCTGTGTAGAAAAGGTGCTGATTCAGAATAGACAGCCGCAAGGCTTACTGGATTGCTTATGTCTCCACCAGAGACATAACAGTCTGAGGCAAGGTTTGCTGGGTAGGCAAGTGAGGCCAAAGTAAGGGGAACGTGTGGATACTGGTAGGCAGGACTAGCCCGGCACCCACATCCTGAGAAGCAGCAGCAGGATGCTTGCTCAAGATGGGAACAGTCAAGATCTCCTTGCTTTACTGGACTATGTTGTCTGGTTTTGCAGCAGAAAGGAAGAGACAGGAATGAGAGAGTACAGCGGAGCAATCTGGATTTTAGATGCATCTGGAGGCCTTTGCAATGAAGAACTTTGATTTAGGAAGTGCTTGGAAATACGGAAGTATTATCATGACTACTCAAGCTGCACAGCCAGTAATACAGACTCCTCTATCCCATGAGCTGACAGGGTCAGCAGGCCAGCAGTGGGTGACAGTAACCTCCCAAACTTTAAAAAAGAAGAAGAAACACATGTCAGAAGTAGGAAATCCACTTCCAGTTTTTTAAAGGGGCTTAAACTTTAAGAAAAGGGGAGAGTGTGCCTTTTTTTAAAAGGAGGGTCGTGATCCCTCTAGACGTAAAAGGGATCTTAATTCACTTTCTTTAGCCAAAATGTTATTTTGGAGAGCAGCTAAGAGGAGTCTGATAAGAGTGCAGAAAAGTCTCTTGGAAGCTGCATATGGGTCATGGGCAGTGTGATGCCCATCTCCTCTACCCCAACAAAGTGTGTTGTGTGAATGTGCGCGAACAGAAATAGTATGGCAAAAGGAGGACTGGGAGTAACTGTGAAGCAAGGCATGGCTTCTGGTCTAATCAAGTCTCCAGATAGCCTCCGTGATCCCAGAGCAATCAGCTCCCATGTGGCATCCAGCCATAGGATCTTATAATCCATTATTGATTCAATTTATATATCCTGCCTTTTCTTCAAAACAGGCCAGTTAAGGCAGCCACCAGAAGTATTAAATAAAAATGAATATATTTAATTGTGTTATCCACATGTTTTAAAAGACACCGGGAAACAGAAACAAATGCCTCCAACTCAAGCTTGTGTCAAAGACACGTCTGAACAAGGAGGTCTCTGCTCTTCGCTGGAAAGAGGAAAGATAGATGGCCAAGCTTTGGTTCTCCTTGCAGGGAGTTCCACAACCTGGAACGGGCCATGGGGAAAACACCCTCTCAAATCCCCAGCAAATGAGAAGGATTCTCTTGCAGATTTGGAAAGGAGTAGAGGCTCTTAGATTGATTACCAACAATACTGTTAAGGGTAACAGCAAACTGGATGGATGAGCGTGACTGTAGTATGAGCAATAATGACATTAGCACGGTACTTTCAAGTGCTTGGAGCACCTCATAGGTAGTAGCCGGCTATACCTTTTCCGAGAGCCCTTAGGACAGTGAGGCTCAGAGACAGGGGCTTGCCTAAGGCCACCCTCCACACTGACAGCAAGGCCAGATTCATAATGGAGTTCTCCCAATGCACTGCTCTCGCTCGCTCTTCCGCTCCACTCCACCACAAAAACTCCCGAGCACACACTGCGTCCGTTGCCCATTTGCTTCTGGCACAAGCAAGAAAACCAGGACGGGGTCACTGTTGCGGTGCGCTTGCCTCGTGGCTCACCTTTTTGTGCTTCTTTGCCATCCACTTGTCCCAATTGTTGAGCATGTCCAGCCACTTGGATTCCCTCTGCCTCAGCACCTCCAGCGGCACCTCTTCCAACCTAGGAAAGGAGGAAGGAACAGGCTGCGTTACTTAACATTGTGCTGACCAAACCCTTTCCTGCTTTGATACAGGCAGAGATTGGCTGGCAGGCAGGCAGGTCCCAGGCAGAAACATGACAATGGACCAGTTTTGTCCCTGGTGCCGTCTTTACTTATTATTTTAGATTTTCTTTAATGTCTCACATTCTGCCCAGAGGATCAACTATAAAGAGGGCTAAAAGCGTACCCCATTATTTGTTGTTGCTGTTGCTTTTGGATATTCTTCTTTTAGCAGGTACTTACAAATTATGTATCTTTTTGTCCATCCCACTCCTTGGCATTTTCTGGGCCATCATTCCCCCCCCCCCCCACCACACACCCCCAGACACTTCTCAACTAGAAC